TTTCTTAGTTTATTTAGGTAAATAACTTTTATTTTTAAATTATAAAAACTTTATATACTGTCGGTATATTCTGATAATATCACCGATATAACGCAAATAGTGAAATAGCATTACCCTACTTTAGTAGATGTATTACTTGTATGTTTTTGTAGTAATTTTAAACATCTCAAGAAAAATTTAATTTGTTCAAGAATATTAAAGTAACACCTTTTAATAATGCAGATGTACCATCATAAGTTATTGTTGTATGTTTAATTGTTAATTGTTACATTGCCTATACAAGTTTTGTTTTCATTTAAGTTGCAAGTAGATTTTGAAATAGCATTACCCTACTTTAGTAGATGTATTACTTGTATGTTTTTGTAGTAATTTTAAACATCTCAAGAAAAATTTAATTTGTTCAAGAATATTAAAGTAACACCTTTTAATAATGCAGATGTACCATCATAAGTTATTGTTGTATGTTTAATTGTTAATTGTTACATTGCCTATACAAGTTTTGTTTTCATTTAAGTTGCAAGTAGATTTTTAACTTACATGGATTACGCATCATGTCGTACCCCATATGAAAGTTTGGTGGGTGCATTTTAGCATTGTGCATCATGTTGGGCGGAGGAGGCATCATTGCACTACCTGCATTGGGAACACTGTTTGTTGCTATTGCTTCCTTTTTAATCTTATCATCTCTAGGTTCTAATAAACCTGCTGCTGATGCCAAATCCTTCCCACCTCCTTAATAAATGATTAGAATGAAAATTATTGCAAAAAAAATGTAGGGTTTATCATTTTATGATTTGCAAAACAAATAATTTTTTAATTGAAAATTTAACATGTATTAATTACGATGCTTACCAGGAACCTCAATTTTATCTGGGTCTTCGTCCTCATCAAAATCAGAACCTGATGAATTATCAATATCTTCATCCATCTCAGACTTCTTAGACTGAATAAAAATTGACTAGTTATTTATTACTAAATAACCATACACAACACATGTAACACTAAATCGCTTGCACGCGAACCACAAGCAAACTAATAAGTATTTTGTCAAGAGAATATACAAAGTACAAGCTTAATGTAAGAAAGGTACTTAAATTTTGTCATTTAATTTTTTTAAACATTAACTATTTTACCACAAATCACAACATGGCGCAACCAACGCCCACATTTATTAAAAGCAGTTTAAAACCGAAAATTAATAAAATAATGTACAATGTGAGATCTCATCATCGTGGTAAAGGCCAATGTTTTTTTTGTTTTTTTGGGGTTATGAATTTTTAACAAGCAGTATTTAAAAAGTAAATTACCTAAAAAAAATAAAAAAAATATTGATTACTAAAGTAGAAACTAATGGAAACTTAAAATTTAAGCAATCAAAACTATAAGTTATATAAGAAACGCGAAAGATAAACATATTAGATTTAGTTAAACGACCAAGAAAAAAAAAATGACATTACCATTTTTAACATTCCTGGGCATGCAATAAGCCAATACAGAAGATTTTCTTTGTATCCTACTTCTATTAATCGTTTCTACTCTTATAATCAACTTACAGCACGTTTTGAACGCGGCATTATCACAATATATAGAAAAGTTAAGCAATTAATAAGCACGCCAACGCCATCTTAATTATAACCCACAATGCATTGCGCGCTACCAACATTGATTTCTGGGGACAAAAGAAATTAAAAAGCACCAAAAAGTAGGGACTTTTTATCACTAATTAATATTCCCTTTGTTTACCAACAGAGTGCAGCTTAATGCAACTAACCAATAATAGCAGTAGATTTGCGACAGCGCAGTTCTCATTGGTTGATTTAAATGTGGCGGTCTAATTTTGTTTAGTATTTTCTTCCATCTCGTTCTTTGAAAGTTAACCCTCCATCTTGAAAATAAAGTAAATGTAACCTGAAAGCCGTGGCCATAACCGCCTAAAAATCTGTAATCATCTTAAAAAGGTATTATTTAATAGTGTAAGGAAGTGATAAGTGTAAATCTCCAGTTGTAAAAATGTCTATTGGTGTGCCAATTAAAGTTTTACACGAAGCCGAAGGACATATCGTAACTTGTGAAACGATTACCGGCGAAGTATACAGAGGAAAACTCATTGAAGCTGAAGATAACATGAATTGCCAAATGGCTCAGATAACAGTGACTTACAGAGACGGAAGAGTTGCTCAGTTAGAAAATGTATACATTCGTGGTTCAAAGATTCGATTTCTTATATTGCCAGATATGTTAAAAAATGCCCCAATGTTTAAGAAGCAAACAAAAGCCGGTACTGCAGGTAGAGGAAAATCGGCGATTCTAAGGGCCCAAGGTATCTAATACATTAATATTCACAACATAGTTTTTGTATTAATAACTTTTTTATATAGCTGCAAGAGGAAGAGGTCGAGGGGTAAATCCAGCTATGAGAGGTAGGGGTACTTGGCAAGGCCCCGGTCAAGGAATTCCAGGCAGAGGAGGAAGATAATTTTAGTATGAATGGAAGTGCGTTTTTAGATTTATTACTTATCATATGATAAGACAACACAAAAACTAATATCTGAAACGACTGTTTAAGTGAGAAAAATGTTTGATTAATAGTGACTGCTTCTGCCCATCATTATCAATAATTATCTCCTATATAATGTTTAAGTTTGTTTAAAGAACATTTCCTTAGTAAGTAATTTTTTTCATAATTGAATATAGACAAAGAAAAATAAACATTTTATTGCAGTACCCATCCAAGTTGAAATAAGTATTACAGTTTAAAACCAGAGTGAATTGAAACAACTCCTAGAGTTAAGTTTTCGTATGTTACTATTCTGAATCCTGCAGCTTCTATCATAGCTTTGAAGGTTTCCTAGAAAAATAAGTTATTGATTATAATAACCAGACTGCTACAATTAAAACAATGACACTTGGTCCTTTTACAATGAATTAAAAGTTGTGAACTTTTTGAAGAATAAAGGTAAAAAAATTTTATATACCTGATTAGGAAATTGTCTAATACTTTCAACTAGATACTGATAAGGTTGCCATTGGCCTGCAATAAATATTCCCAAAACTGGTATTACTTGAAAACTATACTGATCATAAATCCTACAAAAATTAAAATTTAAATTTGAACAATATAAAAGAATTTCAGTTTATTTTTTAAACGTACCATTGTGCTACTGAGTTTTCCAAATGACTGAATTCTAAACATAAAAAACGACCTCCAGGTTTCAGAACCCGATACGCTTCGTCTAACACCTGCAACATAAAAAGAAAATAAATTTTAGAATAACTACATAAAAGGTAAGTTCTGGAGAAAAAAATTAACTTTTTAAAAACACCTGTTAATGTTATCTCTAGTAGCAGATAAGACAATTAAAGCTACGGTTTCGGGCTTCTAATCACCGTTTTTTAATTAAAAGAAAGCTAAGGAAGGCAATAATAAGGATCTTTTAATTTATTAGAATGATTATGGCCAATCCTGTTGTATGCTATAACATTAATTTGGATTAATCTTGTTCATCAAGAAATAACTTTCTGAAATAAGAAATGGCATTTCAATATTTGACATAATTACTAATGTTAATGACCTTATCAGACCAAACATTCAAAAATTTTTGTTATATAGTTTTGGAAACTTGTAAAGCAGCACCAGTAAACCAAATAAATCAAATTATTTTAATGTTGTAAACAGTGGACGTTGTAATATATCATTATTATCAACTAAGTAATTAATGGGTTAAGCTGCTGATAAGTGTACTTTAATTTATGTTTCGTTTGCACTCGAGAATAAAAAGCTTAATGAACGGAAATGTCAAGAAGGCAATTGCTGTTGTTATCATCTTCTAGAGTATATGGGTATAAATATTTAGAACTGGCAGCCGAATTTATACAACAGTTATTAGCGAGTAATGATGTACGACAAGTGCTTTTTATCCCATATGCTTTAAAAGACCACGACAAATATTTGGAAATAGTTAAAGAACCCTTGGAACGGTGGGGATGGGAAGTAGTTGGAATTCACCAGTTTAAAGACCCTGTAGCAGCAGCTGAAAAAGCTGAAGCATTTTTTATTGGCGGGGGGAACACATTCCGGTTACTCAAAACATTATATGATCTGAACCTAATAGAGGTTATCAGAAGAAGGGTTCTAGAAGATGGAATCCCCTACATTGGAAGTAGTGCAGGAACAAACGTGGCTACAAGAAGCATACATACCACCAATGATATGCCCATTGTATACCCCCCTTCATTTGAAGCTCTGAATCTTATCCCTTTTAATATAAATCCTCATTATGTGGATAAAGATCCTACTTCGAAACATATGGGAGAAACAAGAGAAGAGCGAATTTTACAGTATCAGGAGCTTCCAGAAGCTGGGCCAGTCTTAGGGCTTCGTGAAGCGTGTGTCTTATGTATTGACGGAGATAAAGTAACTTTGAAAGGGAAAAACGCATCGAGACTTTTTATTCCTGGGAAAACGCCGAAAGAAATCACCCCCAATAGTGATTTGAGTTACTTGCTACAGAAAACATAATGTACAATTTGCTTACACGTCCAAAAAAATATGTATAATTATACTACTGATATTTTTATTGCCTTTTTCCTAAAAACGCAATGGGTACAGGGTTACAAAAGATGTATTTAATTTAAAGGTATTCTATTACTTTCCTCCATGCTACTGAAAGTATTTACAATTGTCTAATACTATTTTCAGAAGAAAAGGAAAGAATTCACAGGAACCATTACCCCCTTTCTAGAAGCAATCTACTATTAAATATTAATTTTTATTCAAAACAGGAAAATATTAAGTTAAAATTTAATTAAAAATAAAAAAACAACTGCAGTAAAGGACTGTGTTAACTTATTTTTATAGTCACTTGCAATGTTCTTAGCTATTTTGTTCAGATAATTTTAATGTAAATAAGTAAACAGGGAAGATATATTTTTCATTGATTTGTTTCAGATAAGGAGGATAATATGAACGTTATGGCTGATATTTGCAGGGATATTTATAGGGTGAGTGATATTTGATATTTTTTTCAAAATTGGAATGTTCTGAAGATGTATGAAAAGTTACCTTATCAATATGTGTGCAATTTCGAATTCCAAAAGCAATTGTGTAGGCAGTGAATGTCTCATCATTGAAGGGTAATTTTTCAGCATTTCCTTCTATCCAACTTAATGAGTTAGGACTATACCCTAATTTAATGGCTCGTTTTTTTCCCTCCTCCAACATAGCGCTATTTATATCGCAAATAGTTGCAGTACAATTTTTATAATTACTATTTTGAGCATAGTTAAGGAATCTAAATGCAATGTCTCCTATAAAGTAATATGGAAACAGTTTAGTAACATTTAACAGTAATTTAAAAAACGACGTTCTTGTACCTGTCCCCCCAGCAACATCTAATAAGTTTGTATTTTCTGTTGGACTAAGTCTGTGTATAAAAATGTCTTTCCAAATTCTATGAATGCCGAAAGACATGGCATCATTCATTAAATCATAAGACTTTGCTACATCTTCAAAAACTTTATGAACTAAAACAGACGAAGGTTTATTTTATAATTTAAGATAAAGATGGATGTAGGGAATGCCTTTGTGTTCTTTTTCGCCCTCTTTAACTTTTTGAAAGCCAAAATGTGTTTCATCTGTGGACTCTTCAGTTTTGAATGCAGGTTGTTCGTTTGCTACATTTCTTCCAAAAGCAGTATTAAATCCTCGAAGTGTTTTCAGAAAAGTACGGTTTATTTTCAACGACATCTATATTTCCAATCACTTCTACAAAATTTTTATTACCTAATATCAGTACTAGTATTTGAAGGTTATGACCATATTATAGGTTATGATTAATTCCAGTAAAAAGACAAATAATTATTTACAATTTATTTTCTATGGTACACTTTAAACTTATATGCTAAGACATTATAAACAATTCAAGTATAGTGATCTACACATTTTATTCAGTTGAAAATTTAAGTTCTCTTAGGAGGAACCCAAGCTTTAATTTTACTAGGAGTGGTGCTGTAAGGAACATATTGCTCTGGTGTACCACTTAAATTTTCAACATGATCTAGCATCCATTTATATTTAGGTCTAGATGGGTCTTCCATTGGCGGTAGGTCAGTTTTGTAATGCATCCATCCAAACCATTCTGCAGGTATTTGGCTACCATCATAATCCATTCCTAGAATTGGGAAAGTCATACTAAAGTTGAACAGAAAAAACAAACAGAAGCAAACCATAATAATCAGCATATTCAACCCATCTACTACGTCCAAAAAAGAAGGTTGGGTTTTCATAATATTTGTTACCATACTTATCAACACCTACTAACTTGCCAGTTCTTAGGTCGTCGAATCTATTTAGAGGAGAAAGAAATTGAATTTTTAAGATTTGCAGAAGACTTATGTAACAGTCAGTGCGTCTTACCTGTACAGTTTGTACAAAGAGGCTTTGACGCCTCCGTTATCTTTTACTATTTGAACTAATTTTGCTAATTTATCCAGCCCCAAAAACTTTGCCATTTTTTAGATTTTTATTTAGTTCATAAGTGCTATTAATTTTTTAATATAACCTCAAAATTTTGACGTTTCTTCCTTATGACATTGAGTGACAGAGGTTCATTTTGCCATTGTTCAATTGTTCATCGGATTGTCACACTTAACGGCAGTTTGACAAATAAATACAAAAACTTTCACGGTTAGTTTTTACAGATATAAATATAATAAAACTGATTAAATTAATGTAGGTTACATGTTAATTACAAGGAACTCTTCAGTAATTGTGATTACTAAAAATATACTAAAGTATATGAAGTGGCAAGTGATTAATTCGATGAACTTTAACTATGATCCTAACCTATCTATGAACTTTGACTACTATGGTCCTATCCTATCTATGAACTTTAACTACTATGGTTCTAACTTATCTATGAACTTTAACTACTATGATCCTATCTTATCTATGAACTTTAACTACTATGGTTCT